GTGGACTACATTTTAAGTCTAGTTTTATTTTTATATTTTATTTATTTATGCATTTAAATAAGCAGTTAACTCATTTTTCTCAGGAGAACCTTTACAAACTGAAATATTTTAGCTATTCACAATTATTTTTCATATGTAGAGATTTCAACATCATATTACATTTGTTTTAGTAAATTTGCATCTTTTTCATTATCATTAGTGTTTATCGTATAATGCAGAGTTTAATAAGCTTATAGCATTCTATGTAAAGGATTTTCTTTTATGGCAATATAAGTGAATATTTGTTCTTTTCCTAAGTTAGAAAGCGATTTAAAATTTTTATTAATAAAAAGAGAACATATTTCATATATTTTATACCGATAGTAGGTTTTATTGGTAAAGAATGGATGGCTTAGAATGCAGGCTATCATTTGCCTATGGCTTTGGTTTTCTAGATGGCTGAGAAGTGTAATCTCTGAATGAACTCTTGTTTTAATCAATGTCAGCTGTGTCTGTATATGGCTGCGTGACAGAAGCAGCAGTTTGTAGCGGTAATAATGTGACTCAGGTGAATGTAGGTTGCCTAAGGTGTGAGTTTTCAGTTCTTAGAATGTTCAGTGTCAGTTTCTCTAGCAACGATGATGGCTAGAACCTTGTTCTTTGTGTCAGGGGATACACAGTGGGCTGTCCCCTTGTTCTGCTAGCAAAGCTGAGTGGTGATGGAGCTTATGGTACCCATGCTTTTGCTTTAAGTCTGTGTGGTGTACACAGTCCTTGCCTCAGGTCTGGGTGTGAGAGTGTAACTGGTGCTAGGCGGCTCATCCCACCCACAGCTCTTGTCCCAGGACTGGGAACTGACTCATGCTCAAGTCCTGCAGCATGATTACAAGGTCTCCAGGATGTTTAGAGCCAGCACATATGGGTCCTGAAATGTGGAGTGCAGGCAGTTTTTTTCCCTACATCCCACCAGGTGGATTCCAGTGGGTTTGAGGAAATTAGTACTGATTGTTACAGTCTTGGTGCTGCCTGGTACAGTGAGGTCATCACCCAGGCCTCCCAGTGTGGGAACCAGGGGTCTGGGATAGTGGCCACCGATCTGCAGGAGAGTGATGTATGTAGAGCAGTCAGGTAACCACCAATGAGTGCAAATTACTCCAAAGACAGTAATGCAACATCAATGAATTCTGCAAGGCACAGATGAAATCTCTTATTCTTCTCAAAAGCTATGGGAGAGTGTTGCTACAGGTTATGCCTGGGACTCCCACCATTATGAGGTAGCAACTGTGAAGGGAACTTCCTCAAACTTGGTCCAGAATTTTAAAAGGACTGCTGTTTGTGTAAACGCCAGGAAACAGATGGAAACCCCCTGGATCATGTGGAATGAGCAAGCACAGCTCTCGGGCTTATGAAGAAAACTCCCACAGTTCTAGAATTAGGGGTCTTCTCTCTGCCCACTAAGCTTCTCCGACTCTGGCTCAGGTTGTTTCTGGTAGGAGTGGAACAGAGATCAGCTGCTTTTCTCTACACCACCAATTGAGTCTGGTGCTTTGCAAGGGCAGGTGAGGGAAGATGGATCGTGCGACTTCCCTTTTCAGAGCCTCGAAGTCACTGGGCCTCCAGTCAACTCCCAGGGCTGGAGTGAACGAGAGGCTGTGGAATTTCCACCAGTGAAAGCTGCTGGTGGTGGAGCACCAGGCATGGTAGCTCTCAGCGGGCTGCTGGCTGCTGGCTGTGTGGCCAGCCACCTGAGCTTTTCTATTGTAATGCTTCATGTTTCTGTGAAGCCTCTGCTCTGTTTGGCCATTTTGTCTGAGAGAGTTTCAGTCAGTCTCTTGGAAACATGGTTGTTCCTTGCTTTTCCTGTGTTTCTGCTGGTGAGGTTGTGTGGCTTTTCACTATTCATCTATCTTGTCTATTTATTTAAAATTTTTCTGTGCTTTTTTTCATTTTAAGATTTAAGAGTGATTTAAGTTTTTTGCCACACTTACTTTATATTTAAATAATTATACATGCACATATGTACTTTTTTGGGAGAAGTATCACCATGTGACTTCATGACAATATACACATTGATTAGAAACAAGAATATATATTAGACTATAAAGAATATTCCTCAGTGAAACAACTTTTATAACTAAATGCCAGATAATGTAACATCCAAGCAAATTTTATACTGTATATTAAAATTCACAACGAAGAGTAAACTTGTATTGTGGGTCTGGCTTATTTCACTTAGCATACTGATCTCCAGTTCCATCTGTCTCATTGCAGATGTCAGAATTCCATTCTTTTGTTGAGTTTTATTCCACTGTGTGTGTGTGTGATTCCCCCCTCACTTTCTTATCCAAACATCAATTGTTTGACATCTAGATTAATTCCATATTTTTGGCATTGTGAACTCTGCTGCTACACTTGTGCACGTGCAGTTATCTGTTTCTTATGTTGACTTCATTGCCTTTGGGTATATTTCCAGAAGTAGGAGCACAGCATCATGTGGTAGATCAGTTGTTTGAAACCTATTTAATGACACTGAATTAATGACACTTGTGAATAACACTGGTATGGAAATACATCTCATTTAACAAATGCACTTCATGGTATTAAAATTGCTTTTCTTACAGAAAAAGTAATATATGCACGGGATGAAATCAAGGAAGCTAACTAATGTGTTTCTGCAGACATGTAGTTTCAGTGATCATCATTTCAGGGAAAATGTTGCTCCACCTGTAGCAGGTTATCTCAGCAGTGGCACCATTAACTCTTTGGGTTAGATAGGTCACTGTGTGTGGGGGGTGTTGTGCACTGTAGAACACTTCATACCAGTATTGTGGGGACACATTGTCAGATGTCCACTTTGGGGCTAAACCACCTTTTTTTGAAAACCTCATCTATACCAGAAGCAAGAATACCGAGTCCAATTTACTAGAACCTGCAGCTCCTTTGTCTGGATCTACTCTTATCACTTTATTTAAAAGCACATGATTAAGTATAGAATACGTATCAGTTATGCCTCAGTGATCTGTGAACGGCACCTTGCAGTGTTAAGTGTTCTGTGAAGGTTGGGTGGATATGTTCCCATTTCCTATTGATTTCTGAAGTTGTTTCCTACCTACAAGAAATAATGAGATTTTCCTACAAGTTTGAGCCACTTCCTGCAGAGTCAGAGGTTGCTTCCCGTGAGGAAGTCTTCCTGATTAGGAAGACAGGGAGTTCTCTGGGGACCAATGTTCTCCTGTCTGATTAGGTCTGCTCCCTGGTGTCAAGTAGGGTGGGCTTAAAAGTGAGCTGCCAGGGTTCAGAGAGAACAGTTGGAAAGCGAGTCTATTTTAAATCAGGTGGAGATGATACACAAGCAGCTCCTTCTTGGCACCCGAGCCTGAGGAAGGGGGTGGGGCTGTTTTTCCATCCTGAGAAGGAGCTATTTTGGCTCTCATGCTGGCCTCAATTCTTCTTGGGTGGCTAATTCGGAGACCCGTGCGAGTCCATGAGCTGTTCGAAGGACTTTGTTAGCAACTCTGTGGACAGCACAGACAAGGCCCCCTGGGTGAGGACAGCAAAGCCACACAAACACTGTGGTGAGTCTTGTGGCCTTGCACATCTTCTGCCTTTGGTGTTTGGTTTCACTTTGAAAGCAAAGGGAAGGGTGCCCAGAGGCACATGGCATTTTGCAAAGTTCTCTTGTATCAGTCTGACCTGTGAGGCAAGCACAGTGCCTGGTGCTGGCATTGCGGAATGGAGAAGGCATGGTTTCTGTCTCTGGCCCTTGTTAAATACTGGAAACCTACAGTCCATCAAATGCTGTGCTAAAAAAGGTTAGAGCAGATACACACTCACTGTTTTAACAACACTTCCCTTGATGTTATTTCGTGGCAGGCACATCAGGAAGCAACGAGGGTGGAGTGGGAAGCAAGCCGTGATCTCCTTTCTCAGGAAGCTCACACTTCAGAGAGGCAGATGGCCACATGTAATTAAAATTCCAGACTGTAAGTGCTGTGATTTCAGGAAGGCCCAAGGACTGGAGAAGTGGGATTTTCTATCTGTGAGAAAACCAGGCAATACCTAGTCCTGAGGTTTATGCTGGGATGAGGCTGGGAGGGGATGGCTGGTATTGGCATGGTTGGACCTTGAGTCTTGGAAAGGGGAAACAGCTTTCCAAATTCCACATAGAATCTTCCTGTGAAAGATCTCAATGGAAACCCAGGGGTACAGACAGGTGATGTTGCTCCCTGGGTGAATGGATTTGTCTTAAAATTCTCCAGCTGCTCTGGGAGTTTAGGACTGCTTTATGCCCTCTGGTGGTTTCTGTTTTTGCAACTTCTGTCCATGATTTTCCTGTTTCCTGGAGGCATTCACTCCCCCGAGCCTATCGTGTTCACTGGAGGAAGGTAGTTTTGTGATTTAAGCGGAAGTCACCTGGCTCCTGGTCTCTGCTGCCCTGACGTCACACAGTAGGAGTGGTAGATTGATACAGATGGACCTTGGCCACACTGAATAAAAGTCTAGCATGCACCAAAGCAGTTCGCAAATCAGTCAGTGCTGTTGAATGCGTGAGCACATGGAAGGCTGGGCCATCTACAAGAATTTGTCAGAGCAGGAGTGGATGTGGTGGAAGTCCTCCTGGAACTTTGTTGTCACTGGAAGCATATGATTGGAGTCACAAAACCAGTAAAGAGAACTGTACATGGACTGAGCTGAACCTCAGCAAGGGAATAGGGTCACCGCATGATCAAGTGTGAAGGGAGAGAATGAGAGGAGAAAGCAGAAATGAGCGATGCTGAGTGTCAAAGGAGGAAAACCAGGGGCATCTCTTCTGAGGGCTGAGGGGTGTAAGAGAAGTTCCCCTACCTTCTAGAAATGATCTTCCTTCTTCACAAAGCTAAAGTCTATTTGTCTCTCAATAGCTGGCTCACAAACTTGTCAGATAAGCAAGGGTTTTAATGTAAGTCTCTCACTTAACAGAGATTTGCTTTATATCGTTTCAGATCACGCCATCCAGATCGTTGACTCTTGGTGGCATCCTTATGGCTAGCACATTTAATGTGACCGAATTCATTTTTCTGGGACTTTCTTCTAACCAGAATGTGCAGAGAATTTGCTTTGTGATATTTCTGCTCTTGTACACAGCAATTGTGCTGGGGAACCTCCTCATTGTGTTCACTGTCTTGACCAGCAGAAGTCTTGGTTCCCCCATGTACTTCTTCCTCAGCTACCTGTCCTTCGTGGAGATCTGTTACTGCTCTACAACAGCCCCCAAACTCATCTTAGATCTACTGGCAAAAAGGAAAACCATATCTCCATGGGGCTGTATGACACAGCTATTCTTCATCCACTTCTTTGGTGGCACTGAGATCTTTCTGCTTACTGTGATGGCCTATGACCGCTACGTGGCCATCTGCAAGCCCCTCTACTATACCACCATCATGAACCGCCAGGTATGTGCTGTCCTCATAGGAATAGCTTGGGTAGGAGGATTTGTGCATTCCTTTGCCCAAATCATTCTCATTTTCCATTTGCCCTTCTGTGGCCCCAATGTGATTGACCACTATTTCTGTGACCTGCTTCCCTTGCTCAAACTTGCCTGCTCAGATACCTTCCTCATTGGTCTGCTTATTGTTGCCAATGGTGGGACCCTGTCTGTGATCAGCTTTGTGGTCCTTGTGGCATCCTACGTGATCATCTTGTTCCATCTGAGGTCCCAGAGTTCGGAGGGGCGACGTAAAGCTCTCTCCACTTGTGGGTCTCATATTACTGTGGTTGTCTTGTTCTTTGGGCCCTGCATCTTCATCTATATGAGGCCTTCCACCACCCTGACTGTGGACAAGATGGTGGCTGTGTTCTACACAGTGATAACTCCACTGCTCAACCCTGTCATCTACTCCTTGAGAAATGCTGAAATGAAGAAGGCAATGAGGAAGCTATGGACAAGGACAATCAAACTAGATGTGACTTAGAGGTTGTCTTGTTATTGATCGCTGGGTCAGCCCCAAACGGAAGGGGCTGAATGGACAGAAGCAAAGTCACACAGGACTTGTTAGTTCTAGAATTATTCTAACTGGTGTTCATTTTCAAAAACTTCATGAAGTCACGTATAAAATATTTACTTATAAATGTGCTGTAGTGTGAAATGTGGTTTTAGATGATTTATAATTTAAAATTTGAACTTAGCAGATACTTTTAACAGCGGTATAAATATTTGTTCTCTGTGTATGTGATGTTTTGATACATGCCTACATTGTATGATGTCCATTTAGTGGAAATACATCTACCCTTCAAACATGCAGCATTTTATTTTCATGGTAAAACCATTCAATATGCTATCTTTCCCCCTCTTTTTTTCTTTTCATGGAGAAATATAGTGTACGTTAGTATTTTCTATAGCGTATTTGTCACCGTTTCCCCTCCTCCCCTCTCCTGCCTCTGCAGCTCCCATATTTCAAATCTGTAGTGAGAACATCATGTTTTTAGATTCCATCCTTGAGTGACAGCATGTGACATTTGTCCTTTTGTATTTTGCCATTGTGACTTGAATAATAACATCAGTTCCATCTGTGTTGTTGCTATTGATGGGACTTCATCCCATTGTGTGGCTGAGTGGTGTTTCATTGTGTGTGTACCACATTTTCTTATCCATTCATCGGTGAATGGCAACACTCAGGTTGTTTCCACTTCTTGGCCATTGGGAATGGTGCTGCCTGAAACACGGGGTGCAGATGTGTGCTCAATAGCCTGCTTTCATTTTCCTTGGTTATATACTCCATAGAGCGATTGAAGGATCAAGGATAGTTCTAATTTTTGTTTATTGAGGCAGAATTATTTTTCACAATGTTGAATTGACTTCCCCACCAACAGAGCGCAAATGTTCTGTTTTCTCCACGTACTCAGAATCTTCATCACTTGTAATCTTTTGTCTATTTGATAGCAGCTAGTCTAGATGGATGGAGGTGAAATTTCATAGTGGTTTTGATTTTCACTACTCTGATATTAGTTGAACATTTTTCCACCTACCTGTTGATATTTGTCTATTTTCCTGTAAGAAATGTCTGTTTAACTCTACTGCCTGTTTTTAGCTGCATTACATGTTTTGTTTTGTTTTGGTGCTATTGAGTTGTTGGAATTCTGCGTGTTTTGAGTATTAACTTTGTCAGGTGGATAACTTACAAATGTTTTTTTCTGTGCTACAGGTAATTTCTTCACTCTATTGTTTTGTTTGCTGTGCAGAAGCTCTTAAGCTTAATGAAGCTCTATTTGTCTATTTCTTCTAATGTTTTAAATCACTAGAACACTGTGTTAAAGATTATGTAACAGAAATCTTGAGGCACACTTTTGATTTTCTTTTAGATTGGCTTATTGGCTCAATCTGTTTTGTTGAGGAATAGAAAGACCTTTGATGAGCGGTATAAATTGGCTCACCTGTGTTTTGAAAGTGTTTTTGCCAAATTCAAGCACTGTCATTAAATGCCTTTTGAATTAAAGAAGATACTACATAGTCTCAGTGCATCTCCCCATAAAATGCTAATTAATTGCTAAGGAAAAGTCTAACTTTGACACTCCTGCATTTCACACAATGGGCTCTAGTTATCACGACAGTGAGGCCAGTCGATGCCATGTGCTTCCTGGCATGATGGAAGGAACAGGTACACAATAGCCTTGCTGTGGGATTACATAGAGGGGGAGAGACACGCAGACGTGTTCTGTTTGATGATTTACTCCTCAGGTGGTGACAGTGCCAGGGCTGGACCAGGTCAAAGTCAGGATCCAGGAGCTTCCAGGGTCTCCCACACATGTAGCAGGTGCCCCCAAACTGGGACCATCTTTTGCTGCCTTTCCCAGGCCATTAGGACGAAAGTGGTCAGAAACCAGTACCCGTATCAGTTTCTCAAGTCACAGATGATGGCTTTACCTGCTTTGTCACAATTAGTACTCCAAGCACTCACTTTTTGTCCTTTCCTTTTTTTAAAGATTTGTCTTATTTTTTTTGTTGAAAAGTCAGATCTACAGAGACAGCACTCACTTCTGTACAAAAGTGAAAATAAACACAGATGAGCATCCTGTACTACACCCTGGGCAACTGAGAAAAGCGATCTCTGGACACACGTTTCTCTCTTCCATCGCGGGGAGGGCAACGGCGTCTTACATCACGTGGTTCTCCATGAGGATTTAGAAAACATCACGGGGCAGTTAATTCTTCATCTGCTCTTTCTGCTTTAAAAACTGTTGTTTTCTTAGTTTGGAAATTTCTCATAACTTTAGCTTTACTTTAAAATGTATTCTAGGGATTTAAAAATGCATCCTTAACTTGTAAATTACGAGTCTGGAATCAATTCGTACTTGATTTTGTCTGTTACCTTGTAGTTTACTAATTACCTTTTTAGCTATGTCTCATGTCCCATTCAAGTCATTCACTGAGTTCATAATTTCAAAAATTGCACCTTTGATGTCTGAAATTCACATTGAATCTTCTTACATAGCTTTTAGCTGTGTCTTGAGATTCTCACAGTTATCATTTTAAAAATTATTCTGCATTTTAAAAAACATTCTGTTACATTCACTTCCATTGGAGACATTGTTTAATATGCATATATACTAATTTTTTTCTTGAAAACAGTAATATAGATACCACAGAATGAGAGATTCATGACAGTGATCATAATGTGAAGAAAGAAGAGTGTACTGGGCCCGGCGTGGAGGCCTAGTGGCCAAAGTCCTTGCCTTGAGTGAGCTAGGATCCCATATGGGTGCTGGTTCTAATGCTAGCAGCCTACTTCCCATCCAGCTCCCTGCTTGTGGCCTGGGAAAGCAGTCGAGGACGGCCCAAAGCCTTGGGACCCTGCACCCGTGTGGGAGACCCATAAGAGCTCCTGGCTTCTGGCTTCGGATCAGCGCAGCTCCAGCCATTGTGGTCACTTGGGGAGTGAATCATCAGATGGAAGATCTTCTCTGTCTCTCCTCCTCTCTCTATGTATCTGACTTTGCAATAAGAATAAATCTTAAAAAAAAGAAGAGTGTATTGACTCTTATAGGACATGAGTCAGTGAGGCAATGTTTATAACTTAATACCCAATGATAAAACATACACACAATTTTTATACAAATAATTTCCACATATCATAGACATTTGTGGAAATTTCCACACCAATGGAATACACATGATATGTGTTGTCCTGGTTTGGCTGATTTCACTTACCATATGATTTCTGGTTCCATTTGGTTTGTTGACGATGTCAGAATTGCATTCGTTTTTTGCAGTTGAACGATAGTCCATCACATATATAGAGCACTTTTTCTTTACCCAGCCATCAGCTATTGGACATCTTGGTTGATTCCACATCTTTTCTGTTGCGAACTGTGCTGCTGTAAATGTGGGTGTGCAGGTGTATCTTTCACATGATGATTTCACTTCCTTTGGTTTTATCCCTAGTAGTGCAATACCTGGGTCATAAGGTAAATGTATTTGTAGTTTTCTGAGGGATCTCCATTCTGTCTTCCATAAGGGCTGCATTATGGAAACAGTAGTGTTGTTAGGGTGCCTTTACAACCTCAATAATATTTATTAGTTTTAAAATTTTTGGGGAAACTAATTCCAACTGGAGTGAGGGTTATTTAAGGAGACATAAAATTTTATGTGAAATGTTTACTAGAGTAATTTATGTCCATTAAGTATCCAATAGATTCTGTGCATGTGAGGCAGGAAGGGGTAGTTCTGTTTCTCTAGGCAGTCATGACAGCAGAAATGCACTCCCGGACAGTTGTCAGCATTTCTTTACTTTATCCCAACTGCCTTTGTTGCTTATAAAGGTCCTTCCCAGAACATGCACAGGAAGCATTACTACGCTAAATCTGTATTGCGATATACGTGAAATTTGTCAAGAAAAGAAAAGGTCTACATAAAGAAAAACAAAATTAAAAATAGTTGAGTTGCTTTTCTGGCATAAATAAATGCATTTTAAATTGTCTTTGAAAAAGAAAAAAACCCTTCCCAGATTCTGGCTATCAGACCAACTTTTTCTGAAAAAAGAAAAAAAGGATTTTTGAACTTTTTTTTTTAAACATCCTTCAGAGATATTTTGGTCAGGAGCTGACGAAGATGAACCTTTGGCTGCAGCCAATGCTATCTCACTTGAAATTAATGAATCAGGTTATTGCCTAATTAATACATAACTTAATTAATATAGGCTGCAGGAGAATTTCCCCAAGGTAATTTTAACTAACAAGAAAACCAGGACCATACAAAGAAAGTTTGAGAGGCCAATATGGTAACTTATTAGGTTACTCTTTTGCCTGTGGTGCTGGCATTCTATAGGGGTACTGGTTTGAGTCCCTGCTGCTCCACTTAAATCCAGCTCCATGCCTCTGGCCTGGAAAAGCAGTTTAGGAAGGCTTACATGCTTGGACCCCTGCACCCATGTAGGAGACCCATAAGAAGCTCCTGGCTCCCAGCTTTGGACTGGCTCAGCTCTGGCCATGGTGGCCATTTGAGGAATAACCAATAGATGGAAGATCTCTATTTTATTCTTTCTTTCTCTGTAAATCTGACTATCAAGTAAAAATGAAACTACATCTATAAAAATAGAATGAAGCTTTGGAGTATTTCAGGGGACTATGGAAAGGAGAAAGAAGTGACATTTGTGATTTATTTAGCCAAGAATCAAAGTGTTGAAGAATTAGAATGTCTACCCAGAACAGAGGCATTGGGGAAAACAGTCTCATGGAATTTCCACTGGCCTCTTTGCTTCCCAGCGGGACATCTGATGCTGGTCACATGTGGGTGAGCATAACCAGAACATACAGTCATTTGACCCAACAAGAAAGTAATTAAATCTTTCTGAGTCCTAGATGCCTAATGTTTCAAATAGAAGTACTGTTTACTACAAGAGTACAACTCATTTTTCTAAGATACGTGATATATTATGATATAATGCCCAGCACAAGTGTGGTACTCTGGTGCTTAGAAAGCTACGCCCACAAGTTAGGGGGCTCTAGCCTTTCTGCAGTCCCTGCCTATGAAATCCACATGCTGAGAATGTATAGTAAAGGGCCAATGACTTAGAGAGTGAGCAGTTCTAAGTCCTATGCTAGGATTTAGGAGACAGCTGGTTTATCCATGTGGCCAACATTCAAATGATGTTTCCTCTTGGGTTCTCTAATGTTCAAAGTGATTGAGTTGGAGATGAGCTTGGAGGCAGATGCGTGTTTAGATCCCCTGTATTCAGATGACACAAAGTGTGCGTGTGTGTGTATGAGAGAGAGAGAGAGATAGAGTGTGTGAGTGTGTGTGTGTGGTCCAGGTCTGCCCAGTTCATCCTGGAAGCACTGGCTTCCTTGGTCAAACGAGGTGTAAGGCAGAAGATGCCAACAGGAGCTCCTGAGGATGTATACCAGCAGTGGGCACAGTGGGGTGTATGAGGCCAGAATCTCCACTGCTGCTGACTTGCCAATAGAGCGGGAAACCTCTTGGGTCCAGACATTTCAGCTTTATAATGGGATCAATTAGAGGTAGGCTCCTTCACTCTGACGGAAAAGCACTTGGCAAACTCACTTTTGTTCTGTGAAACTCTCCCGGTGGAGGATGTCAGAGACTGGGGAATTTATTCCCAGAGCTCAATGTTTGTATTTTATACATCTTAAATGTTTTGAGCTAATCAGAGTAGGAAGCATCTCTCTCAGTTCTTCTTTGAGAAGGTTTTAAGGTAGCGTGAACCTGTTATATTCCCTGTACTTTCTTGGTGAGAAGAGCACTGAGTTCTGCAGTTGGAGTATTCAAGAGGTAGCATTTAGGGCACATGGCAGTCCTTCACGGTCAGTCGGCCTTTGCAGTGGAACAGCTCACAAAGCAGGTACATTCATGAGCTCTTAGCATGGGTGTGCAGATCCTCCTGTTGAGATCTTCCACACATGTGTTCTACTCACTAGGGTCCTTGTTGCTTGCCACATGCATCCCTGTGTAGGCATCATTTCTCAGATGAGGTCACTTTTTTCAGCAGCAGATGGGGCAAAACCAGATATGGTGCTGTTAATTTTTGCCCATCCATAGGCTGGTCTATGATATATACTAAATGACAAAGTGAGGGATTGTCCTTACAGTTTGGCTTAGAACAGATGTTAGAGTCATTCTCACCTGGGACAAATAAGCAAAATTAACTGGTGACGTGGCTACTATGGAAGTTTGCAAAGCTAGTTGTCAATACAGGAATATCTGTTTGAAACACTAAAGGACTAAATACATGCTCCTCTATGGCCTTCTGTAGGAAAACAAAGCTGTCTGCTTTCCTCTGAACCTGAGTGGAGATCAGCCTGCATGGAAGTCTAAAGTTTGCTGATGAAGAATCTTAAACCAGAAGCTGCAAATCTACAACCAGTGAAATGAATATACTTTATTTTTACATCATATATACGGATAATTTTGTCTTTAGATTTGTTAGCAAACAAAACTCTACTTTTCTGGGGTTACTTTGTGCAAATGAGTAATTTCTCTGACTCTCAGAGATCCAGAAGGTAAGGTGAAGAATAAAGGCAAACACAATATTCAAGGTAAGTTCACTTAATTTCTCCTAAGTTAGGATCAAAATTCTTTTCAAAAAGAAAGGCTCTCTCTGTTTTTGAAATTTGAGACTAGACACCTTCCCCGAATAGTTTGGCTTCTCTGCTGTTTATAGGACAGAGTTACTTTGGCATTGTATTTGATGTAGCAGCCAATGGAAGGTTTGGGGATCACAGAAAGGCACTTGTTATATCTGCTGTGTACCCAGCTCCGTGCAGCGGGTCACGGAGACTGTTCAGTCTTCCTCAAGTTCATGGTAACCATGCATTATGAAAAAAACTATCCATGAATTTCAAGAATTGTTTGTGCTCACATAAATTGATCATTGAATTCCATTTTCCCCCAGCTTTTAGAAGTCTCTTCGAAAGAGTCACTCCACCAGCCTTCAAAGCCTTACATTTTCTTTAGGGATACTAATCAGAGGTATTTGAACTGCAGAAGGAATTGTTGGCACTCAGTGATAAAGCTAAGCTCTCAAGTCCCTGAGGCAGATCCTGCAACAAATTGCTTACTTGGTAACCCAAGCTGTTCTCTACCTGTCGTCTGTCCGTGCTGTCTGGGCAGAACTTACACATCAGAACAATGGGTGCCTGAACCAGCACCCATGTGGGATCCTAGCATGTGCAAGGCGATGAGTTTAGCCACTGCTATTGTGCCAGGCCCAACATTTAAATTTTTTTTTTTTTAGTGTGTTTAGAGTGAGAGAGAGGAAAGCAGAGTGAGAGGGAAAGGGAGAGAGAGAGAGAGAGAGAGAGAGAGAGAGAGAGAGAGAGAGAGAGAGAGAGAGACACCCAGAGAAAGATGTTTGATTCTCTAATTCCTTTCTAAACCCTGCCATGGTAGCACTGGTCAGAGTCAGAACCAGGAGCTGGGACCACAGTCCATCCCTCACCCATGGGAGACAGAAGTCCATGAACCTGAGGCATCATTTACTGACCCCTGTGGCCTGCACTGATGGGAAATGGGAATGAAACTCAGGCCCTCTGATGTGGGACCAGGGCATCTCAGCTATGAGGATAAATGCCTGTGCTCCCAGAAGCATCTACTTCTTGAAAATTGCAGACCTCACATAAGTTGTAAGTTCTGTGCTGCTGAGCAGGTAGTGCAGCCTCTCTAAGGCTCATCTTGTTATCGATAAAATGTCCTCTCTCTTGAGTCGATAAGAATCAATGAGTGCTTGTAGCTGAAAAAGATAATGCTTCATAGCTGTGAGGCTACAAAGTCAAACACTAATGTGGCCTGACAGTAAGCAGTGATGGTTGGTAGTTTATTCACTTGTCCCATGCAGTCCGTGATGTAGGGGAGCCCAGGGAGCCCAGGGAGCCCAGGGAGCCCAGGGACCCCAGGGAGCATGTATTCGTTTCCTGCTTATTATATGTTTAATGATATTTTAATGATTGAAAATTAAGAAATACTATTTTCCTATGATTCCAGGCTATTATTCCCTGCTCCCTAAAACATGGCTGCCACCAGCAACGTGACAGAAGTCATTTTCTTGGGGTTTTCCCAGAACAAAAATGTGCAGAAAGTCCTTTTTGCAACGTTTCTCCTCTTGTACGCGGCCATCGTCCTGGGCAACGGCCTCATCGTGGTGACCATCACGGCCAGCAGAGGGCTCACCTCTCCTATGTACTTCTTCCTCAGCTTCTTGTCGTTCGTGGAGATCTGCTACTGTTCTGTTACAGCCCCCAAGCTCATCGTGGATTCTTTCAACAAGAGGAGAGTTATCTCCCTTGAGGGCTGCATCACGCAGATATTTTTCCTCCATTTCTTCGGCGGTACCGAGATCTTTCTTCTGACGGTGATGGCCTATGACCGCTATGTGGCCATCTGCAAACCCTTGCACTATGTCATCATCATGAACCGGCGAGTGTGTGGCCTCTTGGTGGGGGCGGCATGGGTTGGGGGCTTGTTGCATTCTCTTGGGCAAACTTTCCTCATTTTCCAGCTGCCTTTCTGTGGTCCCAACCTCATTGACCACTACTTCTGTGATGTCCACCCGGTGCTGAAGCTGGCCTGCTCTGACACTTTCCTCCTTAGCCTGCTCATCATCCTGAATGGCGGTTCCATCTCTGTGGTCAGCTTCGTGGTGCTGCTGGCTTCTTACTCGGTGATCCTGCGCTCGCTGCGGAACCGCAGCTCAGATGGACGGCGCAAGGCACTCTCCACCTGCGCCTCTCACCTGGCGGTTGTGGGCCTGTTCTTCATCCCCTGCTCCTTCGTCTACATGAGGCCCTGTGTCAGCCTTCCTGCTGACAAGATAGTCGCCGTGTTTTACACTGTACTCACCCCGCTCCTGAACCCTGTCATCTACTCCTTCAGGAATGCTGAGGTGAAAAATGCTGTGAGGAGGCTCATGGGAAAGAAGGTGCATTGGCGAGAGAAATAGAGGAATTAGTGAGGAAAGAGAAGGGGAAGAGGAACTGGGATTCCTGAGACCTCATTCTGCCTTGACCTTATCTAGCCTTGGACCCGTCACCCATCCCTTTCTTCATCTTTAAGGCACCAGACAACACTGAGGAGAACTTTCCAGGAGGGAACCTGAGGGCTCATCTAGTGCTGCGGTTTCACATCTGACAGTGAACTTGAGGCAGACAGGTTGATTTGAAGGATGAGTTAATTCAGAAAAGTTCCAGATCATTCTGGGAATGGTGGAGAGGGAGGTGGAAAGGAGACAAGAAGCACTGTGCCAGGACAACTCTGGTCCCGTGTCCTTTGGGGATGGAGAGGCTGAGCCCTTGGCTTTGAGATGTCGAAAGGACAGAGAGAGACTGTGCTTAGAAGCCCCATGGACCCGATGCCCTTAGGATTGGCTGAGTGGGTTCTGGCAAGGTCAAGCTCACTTAAAAAGTACAGTCCTTAGGAGAGAAGGTGTGGACACTTGTCAGGGAATGTGCCAGAACTAGTACTAGTGTGAGACTCATATTTCTCAGGAGACCCACAGGAGATTCTATGTTGTTAAAACACAAGATGGGGATACCCATTTGTAGGCATGAGCTTTATTTTCCATGGATCCAGAATTCCCATTGGTTCCTGCTTGCCTGACCTTCCTGCCTTGTTTCCCCTCCTTGTTGCTCTTGTTATCTAACTCACTGGTTTGCTCTTAGTGGGTTAGTATCTTAGTATCTGTGCTGGACACTGGAACAAAAGATCAGGGTGATTCACTCTCTCAAGTCATCTGATTACCTTGTGGATTTCCATCCTTGTGCTTCTTCCCATTCTATATGGAGGAGCTGCCTGGTGATTAAGGTGTGGACCTTCACTGATGCCCCAAAATATCTATAAAAATTTTTAAATTTATTTTTTATTGGAACAGCAGATCAGATTCACACAGAGAGAAGCAGAGACAGAAAAAGATCTTTCATTTACTGCTTCACTCCCCAAATGGTCTCAACGGTTGGAGCTAGGCTGATTCAAAGACAGGAGCCAGGAGGTTCTTCTGAATCTTCCACAAGGGTGAAGTGACTCAAGGCCTTAGGCCATCCTCTATTGCTTTCCAAAGCCGTAAGCAAGGGTATGGATGGGAAGTGGAGCAGCTGCTATTCAAACCGGTGACCATATGGGATCATGGTGCTTGCAAGGTGAATAGTTAACCATTGAGCCATTGCTCCTGGCTCTGTCCTGTAATATCTTAACCATATATTTTTTGCAAGTCTTTTTTTAAATTTTTTTTTTTTTTAGCAAGCACCAGATCTCAAGAATGTGCTCCCAAATTTTAGACCTAACCCTACCTGATTTACTCTCAGTGGGTAAATTTGCTTTCACATATTCTGGAATAATCAATCACCCTAAAACAACTCTCTGATGTCATCACTCCTTACCCAAATCTCCAGTGATTCCCATTGCCTTTGAATAAAACATAAACTCCTGCTTGACGTGCACTATCCTCAAGTTGTGGCCTTCTTTTAGTGTTTGTTATTTCCAATCATATGCTGTTAGAGTTCACTGCTTTCTGAACATTTTCCACCTATAGTGTTTTCTCTCCCTGTTTAGACCCAAAAGCCCATAGAAAATACTTTTGCCTTTAGGAAGCTCCCACAGTTGTTCCTTCTAAATGAATCTTATTTTTTTTTCTTCTTAGAACTCTGTTAAAATTTTTTAACGTGTTTATTGCCTTTGCTTCAGAGATCACTTCTCCTTGTCGGATTGTGATTCTTTGCCAACACCTCTTGAATCTTACTGGTCTGTGTATCTTGCTCCAAATAGCAAAAAGCAATAGAATAAATACTATGCAAGTTCAATTTGTAGAATTCAGTGCTTTAGACTACAAATGAGCAGAAGGGGTTATATTTTTCTCATCTTGTTGATTTAAGGAATATATCAATGTTACATTACTTAAAAAGTAAACCAACAATCACCCCTAGCATTATTTCTGAGAATAGCGTTTACATTTAAACAAGGAACATGCATGTGTGTGCATATCTTGTAGTTAATCAGATTTCATGTATTTTGTCTCATTTTATCCTAAATCTTTTTAAGGAGATTTCTTTCTTCTGCTTTTTCTAAATTTTATTTTAAATTTTGGTTTTAAATTAGTTTTTAGCAGATTACGTATGATTTATAGACGCAATTATAAGAGTATAGTGATAACCTAGCTCCTTTTGCTTACCTATTTTTTGAATTCATATGAAGAGAACATATTTAATACATTCTGTAGGTACAGCTCGACAAGACAACTATACTTCCCTCCTTTGCCCCCCATTACCTCTTTCCTCTCACCAATTTTTACAAAGACATAATTTTCTAAAAAATTATTTGTTTTTATTAGAAAGGCCGATTTACAGAGAGAAAGAGGTACAGAGAGAGAAAGATCTTCCATCCACTTGTTCACTCCTAACGTGTCTGCAATGGCTGGAGTTGAGCCAATCCTAAGCCAGGAGCCAGGGGCTTCCTCTGGGTCTCCCACATGGGTACAGGTTCCCAAGACTTTGGGCCGTCCTCGACTGCTTTGGATGGGAAATGGAACAACCAGGATATGAACCAGTGCTCACGTGGGATCCTGATGCATGCAAGACGAGGACCTAGCCTCTAGGGCCTGAAAGATGTAATTTTAATCCACTTCATAGTCTTAATTTGTTCGTAGATATAATATTCAAGTGAAAAATAGGCTATAGTTCCACAAGGAATATAAATAGGGATTAAAAGCTAGAAGTGGGGCACGGCGCGGTGGCGCAGTGGTTAAGGTCCTCACCTTGCACGCCCTTGATCCCATATGGGCGCCGGTTCTAATCCCAGCAGCCCCGCTTCCCTTCCAGCTCCCTGCCTGTGGCCCGGGAAAGCAGTCGAGGACGGCCCAAGACTTTGGGACCCTGCACCCGCATGGGAGACCCGGAAGAGGTTCCTGGGTTTGGATTGGCATAGTATCGGCCGTTGTGCTCACTTGGGGAGTGAATCATCAGCGGAAGATCTTCTCCTCTGTCTCTCCTCTCTGTATATCCGCCTTTCCAATGAAAAAAATAATAAAAATGAATCTTAAAAAAAAAAAAGCTAGAAGTGTATCTTAAGAGGTATTGATTCCTTTGTTTGTAGAAGAAGAGATTGGGGTTTGAGGAGTCCAGTGTCTGGATCAAAGCCCTGCAGTTAGTAGCCCAAAGAGCCTGGATTCAAATTCATGATCTTCTCCATGCACTCCTTCGCTTCCCTGTAAAGGCTGCTGAACATCAATCCATGTAGATCTTGAATTTCAAGTCGGAAGGCTTAGTTTCATTACTGTCCTCTCACTCCCTCTAGTGTAACTTTACAGTGAGTGAAAAATGTTTCTAAATTATAACCAGAAATGCCTCCTAGAGATCCATAGTTATTCCTGGGGGTCCATGGAGATCCGGCAGCTGGGATGCCAGCTCTGGGAGTGGAGACTGGGGAAGCAGGAAGGTGTGATGCCCCTGCCAGCTCACAACACTGATTCCTTATGAAGGAAAATCCCAGCATTGAGCTACCAGTGTCCCCCATGTATTAACTCCATACTAAGCATGGCCTAAGTGGAGATGATTTTCTAATGGCATAAGGTTGGAAAAGGCAACATTCTTGAGGATATACCGTACAGATCAGAAAACAGGAAATCAGAGGCAAAAGACTGGCTTCCCATGAAATTTTAAATGTTGATTTGTCCCTCAGGACAGTGCTGCCCCAAAGGTGGTGAGATTCTCATTTCCCAGTGAAGGAAGCTGAAGGTCAAGGATGATTCCAAAACTCTGACGTTCATTCTACACCGTGTTAGTGAGCTGTGCTGTAGTGTCTGGAATTCTGCAGCTGCCTCTGGAATGTGGACAGGAATAGAGGAGCAGAGAACAGAAGGCAGCAGCTGATACGCTTTAAAAATTCTGTCTTATATAATATTGACTTTGATAAAACAATTGAAATACTTTAGAAAGTTTAGAAAGCATTCTAATATCCTTTGTCTTTGCTTGGTCATGGCCAGATATGCTTTGTCTTGCTTAATGGAACAAATACTTTAAGGAAATGATATCTAATCAGGAGAAGGAGCAGAGTCAAACCTTCTTCCAAAATTTGACTCCTGATATGAGAATTTTCTGAGTGACAGTTGAGGCATGCCTTGGAAAATGCAGTGTATCCAACCCCAGGCCCATGGGATGTCTGTATGAAGGGAGAAACTATGAAAGACAAGGAAACAAAATGGATCCTTGGAGGAGAGGTTGAAGATATTGGGAGATTTTGGGCTGGACAAATGTAGTCTAAATGAGAGCTAGTGAAGATCTGTTTTATATGTGTCTTCTCAAATTCCTGGATGAACAAATGATATTGTCCTCATATCAAAATTACATCTACTTTCTTGCAAATGCTCATGCCCTCTACTTTAACCTTCCCAATTAATGAACCTGTCTTAAGGAAAATAGTAGACAATCTTAGTTTAGAATTTCTTTTTTGTATCATAAAAGCATGAAAGTGTTTATATCCAGTGTCGCTGTAGAAACACTTGAATTTTTGTCCTTTACTGGTCAGTCCTAAGTATTCACTCACTCTTAATCAAGAGGTTCTGAAGTGAGAAAAGCCCTGAAAATAGTTGTGATTGGGAACTTTTGAAGAATGAAGAAGTAGGGTGATTGGGAATGCTGTGAAGAGGATCTAGAAAGAACATGTTGACAGCACTTTGTCCAATGGTGATCATTCTGTTCTCTCAAGTACTTTGTGGTTTTTAGGACCTTTGGCTCAGCTATCCTAGGATTCTATTTTATTCAGGACAATAGACTATGAACTAAATCTAGACCAATTTTACTTTTTCTTGTGTTTCCCTAATGAAGGTTTTTGGGTAATTTTGTAAAATAGAAAATATTGCATGTATTTTCTGAGCCATCATCATCTGCTTCTTAGGCACATAAGTGCAGAATTAGATTGGAAATAGAATTGCCCGGACTTGAGCCAACACTTCTT